GAGAGAGAGAGAGAGAGAGAGAGAGAGAGAGAGAGAGAGAGGTTGAAAGAGAGAAAACGCTGAAACGATACGGGACAGGGATGAAAACGACAAGGCGGAGAGAGACGGATTTATCGGCTGCGAGCAAAGAAAGAAGAAGGCGGAGGCAAGGGTGGCACACACCAGATGCTACCGCTCTACGCCACCGACGGACCCCGCTCGTGCCTTTACTTCCATTTCGTGTCGATGCTGCTCGGGCAGGCTTTTTCTGCCCTCGCGTTTCTCCGCTAAACGAACGCACGCAAGATATGCAGGTGAACAACTTTGCCCGTCTGATAATAGTTTGCCGGTGCAGATTTGCCGGATCAAAGTCGAGGACCAGCTGCGACGCGTTCACCTCGTTTGCTTCATAGATTGCTGCTTGTAACGCGTTTTGCTCCGGGCACGGGGTACGCATAGTGGAAGCCAATTGATTCTACGTAATACGTTTAGTCGTATTTGCCTAGCAATTCGAAAGTCATCACATTCGTCAGTCGTAGAAATTAATGGCGATACTTTCGTAGAATATCTTCCGATCTGATATTTATCTATCTGTCGGCCACAATGCCTGAATTTGACTCGCGTAAGCCGGTACAGATTATACCCGTCGAACTAATTCGTCCATTGATCACAGTTATTAATCATTTCTATCCAGTAACAAGGCCAAAGATTATTCGTAATGTGCAATGTAATTCAACTATCGCTAATCGATAACAATGACAAATTGGTAAGACGAATGAGATTCTCTTACGAATACTTTTCAACTTATTTCATCAGTGACAGATAGAAATCAATCCAATTATCGAATGCAACCGCTCTATCTCGTGCAATAAATTTTATTCTGCGCTTTAAATACATTTATTACCACGTATTTCCTCCAATAACGCAGCCAATTAAATTATTCCAACCCTTAATCTTACCCTTAATTAAAAATAGTAGAAACATCTGACGCGTCCGATTTATCGCGATCATTTCTTCTGCCAATTAAATTTTCACTCTCTTCTAGACGTATAGATGCGTAGGCGTGTAAACATAACATTTTGCAGAAATTAAATTTCGATCAAAAGTCGTGACTCCCAAGACGAAATATGTTGTCTCTAAAATTCGTGTCGATAACGACAAATTGTCAACCTGGATCTACGAGTTGCAGCTCCGCGCGCTTACATACACATCCAATTTCCGAAAATTCAGCAGAATTGCGCACATCCTTTAATCTGTCGTCTAGTTGGGCGTGAAAGGCGACAGCGGCATCCTCTCGGCGAGAGGATAAAGCATCAGGCTCGACGAATCTACTCGTATCCCACACGTGTTACGACGTTCATCGCGGTACAATGGACGAAAGATGAAAACCCAACGCTATTATCAACTCCGGCCGATTTCTTACAATGCCGGATTTAGTAAGGGTTGCCCCCATTACGTACAGTTGATCACACTCGAGCTGCAGGTAAAGTACAGGTGTGGGTACATCGGGAAGTTAAATCCGCCGGAGTGGAGGTCGGCTCTTTTTCACAATGTGGCCGGCACCATAATGAACCGGCGAGATCGGTTGCGTTAGCGGTTCCTCTATGTCGTGTGCACTACGATATAATATATCTTTCGCTACGTGTACCTTAGCTCTTTAGCTCTTGGAAAGTTTCCACATAGAAAGGCCATTTGAACCGTGAAATATGTACAACAACGGTCGAAAGTTCGGAATTTATGATAATGATAATGATAATGATAATGATAATGATAATGATAATGATAATGATAATGATAATTATAATGATAATGATAATGATAATTATAATTATAATGATAATGATAATCGATAGTCGATAATCGATAGTCGATAGTCGATAATCGATAGTCGATAATCGATAATCGATAGTCGATAGTCGATAATCGATAGTCGATAGTCGATAATCGATAGTCGATAGTCGATAGTCGATAATGATAATGATAATCGATAATGATAATGATAATAATGATGGTAATGATAATGATGATGATGATGATCATCATCATCATCATCATAATAAAGTATCACCCCTTATGAGAAATAAAAAAAGTGAGATATTATAGAATATCGTATAGAAAATTGGAAATTTTGTGGGATTTCTTTGAATAGAAGGAGCATGAATGTTATATTTATACAGTTTGATACGAATATCATAAATTCACAGTGAAATTGCCAGCGTGTAAAGAGATGCTCGACGCCCATTGTTGTTATTTCAAGGAAGTGACAGATCATTATTCTTTTCAGCCCATCACGAGCGATTCCGACGAGAGAGTTCCGCTCTCGAAAGCTTGCGAGAACCGTGGCAAACTTGTACAGACCGTGATACGTCACAGACGGCAAGGTCAACGATCATTTATATCAATTTCACGATAGCTATCGTGTACTGCTTTATTAACTCTACACTCTGCAAATAGCATTCCAATAAAAGTTTCGTCACAGAAATCAAAAATTCTCTTGCTCCTTACAAAAATTATAATTTCTACTCTTTTGATCGTCGATATGATTAATTACAATGGGATCGGAATCTAAACGAAATAAGTCCACTTTTGACACTTTTTATGTATCGTAAATAAAAATTACGCCTACAGAGGAAGAAATGTGTAATAATAATAAATCCAATTCACTCTCCGAACATGAGAACCGGTACTTTATCTTTGATACTTTGAGTCTTTTTACATGTCGTGAATAAAAATCATACCTACAGAGAAAGAGTAAAAACATCCTCTCAGAAGAGTAAGAACCTTTGTCGTAATAAAAAATAGTCTGTCCGACAGTGCACCTTGAATAGATTATATTACCCCGGGAAAGGGGTGCAGATCGTTGAAATCTGGTGTCGTTTAATTCCACGGATGGGGCCCGGGTTCCCCTGTTCGCCGCCGCGAAATGAAACGTGGGTGCACGGTCCGACTCTGTTTCCCATCTAATCACTGCTTAACTCTTCAACGACCCTGTCCCTCGAAATAGAGTTTTACCACAGCGCAGGTAGTGTGCACTCGAGCTCCATTTACCAGTAGTTAACAACCTCCACGGGGCCAGAGACAGACTCATTTACTCGTGGTGCTCATTGATGGAAATCGCGTGTATTTGATGACGCGACTCTGTTAGTTCAGTCGGTCGGACTGAAAATGCAGGAATCACGTCCGTCAATTGATGGACGTTGACCTTTGAGACGGTAATTGAGACAATAGCCTGATACGATGTTTGGGGGGACGTCTTTCGTAGGTGAAGACGTAAGTAAGTGCCTTGAAATGGATGAAGTAAGGAGAAGGAATCTAAAAGGACGACGTTCGACAGGCATGTGTAATTACTGTAGTTAATTGATTGTCAATTTCAAAGTGAGTGACTTGGAATCGAGTTACGGAGAAAGGACTCGAATTACGAAGAGAGAAAGAGATAGTTTGATCAAAGCTTTTAGAATTTAATTTCGTTCATTTTGGGTTAGGTTTAGGATGCGAGAAGAGCCACGGAGATTATTCAATTTCGAAAATTCTTCTTAAAATATCGAAACAAACCTGGAACATGAAAGTACGGGAACTAGAACGCATTTACACACTTTTCATCTTCCTTTTAACATTGATTCGCTTTCCTTCCATCTCAATACGCGTGTCCATCCAGTTTTAATCTTACGAAATGCACAATGCAGACAGCTGATTGAAAGCTCCGAGGGGAGGGGAATTTTCGACCGAACGGAACGGCGGAGACTGACCTGATTTCCAAAAACGCCGATGCTGCACGCGCTGCTGACCTGGTCCGGACCAAACCAAACAGCTGCCAGACGAGCTGGTACCGATAGGATGAACGTTTGACTTAGAGCAACCAACGATTGGCCGAGGAAAGTGATCCAGAATCGATCTGGGCTTACGCTGAACACTTTTATCCAAGATCCGAACGTCGTCCCGATCGCCCCTGCCAAGGCAGCGAACCTCAGCCCCTGAAATGGAGCAAGGATTATTTAGAAATTGAAGAATTACACATCAGACGGAAGAAATTTTTTTGAAAACTTTTTAAGAAAAAATTTAGAACAAAAATTTTCCTCCTTCTTTTTCAAATCTTATTCGCATAGAATTGTGACGCTTAGCAGACGTTTGTTTCCCGTTGACGGAAGTCGTCTTTGAAAATCATAAAGCGATTTCGAGATCAATCAATTTGAATGAAGCTTCAAAAGCCTGTTCCTCATGTTTCGAAATATCAAAAATATTCTTTGCAGCGTAACGACGAGCTCAGGCTCAACTTGCTCGATCGAATTATCTCCGTTCAAGATAAGTTTACAAGTGTTTGCTCGATCCATTAATCCTCGAGATATAATTGCCTCGTAGGTGATGTCAACACTTTCTCTATTGCATTTCGAAACATCTTCAGGGAATTAAAAAAGAAAAGAAAAAAAAAAAAGAAAACGGAGGAAAGTGAAAAATTCTACTATTTCTTGGAGAATCGAAGATCCAATTCATACAAAAATATATTAAACGTAATGGCGAGGGAAATTAGGAAAAAGATTTATATTGTTAGATGCAATTTATGCTAGATGCAATATGCAATTGTTTATTTGTATTTTTGATATCTTCAATTTCTTTATCGAAAACCTAAGTGCAACGAGAGTGTAAAAGTCAAGTTTTGCCATTTGTACATTTTGCGATAACAAAACGGATTAGATTAAACTCCATTAAATTAAATTAAATTAA